CACAACGTGCCTGAGAGCCGCGGAGGGGCGGGCGGAAGGAAGGCAGGAGGATGGGGGATGATGAGGAGGTTGGGAAGGTAAGGGGGAGAGAACGAAGGAATAGGGGAGAGAGGGGGGTGATCGGAAGGAGCCGTGGAAGAGGAAAGGGGCGATGCGGGACGGATGAGGCATGGGGGGATGAGGGCGATGGGGAGGTGGCAGTGAATATGAGGAAGGCGGGGGAGGGAGGCAGAGGGGAGGAGGGGGGCGAAGAGGAGGATGGGGAGAGGACGAGAAGGAGGCGGGGGGGGGGGGCGAGGAGGCTCAGGGGGGCGCGGAAGATGAAACGGAGAAGGAGGGAGGATGGGATGCGGGGGGTGGGGGAGGAGGCCGAGGAACAGGGTGCGGCCGAGGATTGGAGAGGGTAGCACGGGGATGAGGATGGTTAGGAGACGGCTTAGGATGAGGCGCAGGGGCGCTGAGGAGGCTTAGGAGGCTCGGATGGAAGGGTGGCGAGAAGCAAGGGTGGCGAGAAGCAGGGCGAGGAGGAAAGCGTAGGCGGAGGCCCGGAGGAAGGGGGGGGGTGAGAAGGGGGACTGAGCACGATTAGGAATTGAGATGGCGCAGGGGGGCTCAGGGACCTCATGAGGGATAGGGTGCGGAGGAGGAGGAACGTGGGGAGGCCTAGGAGGACGTTCGGATGCTGGGGCCGAGGTGGGGGATGCGCGGGGGCCAGGAGGAGGAGGGGCACCGGGGGGGTCTCACGGGGGGGGCAATGCTATAGATCCGGACACTCGGACACAACGCGAAGGACTGGGGCAAGGGTTGCGGGAGGCGGGGCTGGACGGGACGCGGGGGGCGGGCAGGAGAGTCGACAGAGCTCGCAGGCCCTACAGGTTCATTCCGACAGACCCCGCGACTCGGCGGGGGGCGGTTTGTTTGCGAGCCCGTGGCGACGACGAGCCCCTGAGTCATATGGGAGGCGCGCGCTGGCTAGACTGCCGCGCGCGCGCAGGCCGCACGCTGGCCACAGCGCAGCACGCGCAGGTGAAGGCGTGCTGGGGCGACGATCTCAGTCGGAGGCGGAGCCGACGGGCTCGGTGACGAGCGACGCTGTCCCTGGCTGTTCTGGCGGTGCTCCGTTCGGGAGGCCCGCGGCAGCCGTGTCCTCTGGGTACATCGCCGTCGATGGCTCGGCGTTGGCGGCCGCCTCCTGCTCGGGCTCAGACGCCAGGAAGCTGTCGGCGGACTCGGGCTCCTTCTCTGGCGGGTCGCCCTCCTCGGCGACGGTCCCTGCAGTCCGCTTCTGGCTGAGGTCGCTGCAACTTGGCGAAAGTGTCTCCGCTGCCCCCGTGCCTGACCCCCCTGGGCGGCGCTTCCGCGATGCTCTCGCGGCGGCGCGATTCTTCGCAAATTCGTCGAAGAAGCTCTGCAGCCCCCCCATTTCGGCGGCGGGGCAAGATCGACGCCAGTCTGAACCGGCGCAGCGGGCGTCGCCCCCCATCTCGGCGCGGCGGTCGGCGCGCTCGTTTTCCAAGTTCCCATTGTGGCTCTTTTTCCAGAGGATGATCATCTCCAAGCGCGGTTGGCCCTGGCCCCGCAGGTGGACTGCCTGCGCCGCTTGCTTGCCGAGCTCCCCCGGCTGATAAACGCGCCGCAGCAGATCCCGCGCGCGGTCGAGTCCGCAGTCACCTAGACGCGAGCGCGGCCCCGCATAGAGGGCTGCTCCTGGAGCCACTGGCCCAGGGCCCACAGCGCGGCCTCCACAATGGCCGAGAGCTCGCCCGCGTTTGAATGCAGGCTGGAGGCGCCGATGGAGCGCGGGACCTGGGGCACCTTGGAGACCTGGCCGCAGGCGCCCAGCATCGGCTCGCCATGGTCGCCGGGCCCCGCGACGCGGAGCACCGGGGAGAAGCGGCAACGGCGATGGCGCCCCCGCCCGCGCCCAGGAGGCATCCGCGAAGTGGCCCATGGAGTTCGCGAGGTCGCCCTCGGCGCGCTCCCGCGGCGCAGGCGGCGCGCGCGCGGGGCCCCCAGCGTCGCGCAGATCTCCCCGTTGAAGTGCTCTGGCGCTGCCCTCGGTCGTCGGCGCGACGCGGCCAGAAGTGCGCGGCACGCGCAGAGGCAAATGGTCGCGCTCGGAAGCGTCGCAGGAACAAGCCTGACAGAATACGCGGCTGAACGGCTCACGGTGGATCAGCGTGAAACCAAACGGGCGCGATTCCTTGCGCCGTCGAAGACACGCGTAGCTTGGCCCCACTGGACTTCCACATACGTGCCATGAGCAACAAGACCGAACCCAGTCATCAAGTCGTGGAGCATCTCGCCTCGCCACGTCGTTTTAGAAGGCGGGAAGTGACCGACTGCACCCCGGCTTCCCCCGCCAAGTCCACCACGAGCGCCGATGCTGACAATGGCATGACAAACGATAGGCAGATTAGTCAAGCACTCCCTCGACAGCTCGATGGTCTCTGCGTCTGCGCACACGAAACGGAGATGTGCGAAAACGGATGGCTCGCGATGAACTGCGCGCATCCCCAGACAGCAAGCTGCAAGTCCAGGCGCATGGCGCGCCCGTGCAACTGAGGCTGTCCTGATGCGGGGGTCCCCAACTGATCGCAGCCTGCCATCGCACACCAGTGCCGGGCCTCTGCTTGAAGTGACGAGCGCACGACACAGCCGTCGCAAGCCTGCCCAGCCCCACCAGCAACGCGCCATTCTTGAAAAGGGGCGATTTGAAGGCTGAACTCGCGCGCAAGTTCACCGAGTACGCTCCGACGCTGACAAGCCCAGACTCTTCTCACATTCCACCCCAGCACTGCAAAACCCTTGGGGTCCTGAGCAAAGCGTCGGCCGCTTACTCGAAATCGCCGGAGACGAGGAGAGTCGTTGATCTCGCCGAGCCGCCGCTCCAGCTGGACGTCCTTCAGCTCCTGGTCAAGCAGCGCCTTCGCGAATGGGTCCTGGCAGAACCCCAGGACGTCGGAGATCCGAACCGCTGCAGTATGCGGATCGGTCGGTCGACGCCGTCCTTGCGGTAGGCCACCTGTCTTCAAACACATCCCGCGCCGAAGGTTTTCAGCTTGGTCTCCTCCGTGCGCAAATTCTGATGCACCCCGCACTCGCGCAGGATGCGATCCGCAGCCGGCTCCCCACAAGAGCTCGACCTCGCGCGGTTCCTGAGCCAACTGGTGCCAGAGCTTATTGTCGTTAGCCCCAGGGCACGGTATCCTCAGGCCCTTCCAACTCTTCATGAGCTCCCACATCTGCTGACTGCTCGCGAACGATATTTTTACCTGGTCACAAAACCTGCCCACTCCGTATATATCGGTGATGCCCTGGCTTTCCAGGGAGACGGTCCTGTCGAGTTCGGTCCTCAGGTTGCGCTCGACCTCCTCCTTGTCCCACGTGCCAGGGAAACCCGCCACGAAGACAATGTGTTTGGTATTCTTCCCATACGTCCGCACTGCCGCCGCCGTTTCAGCTCCAGCTGAAGCCTGGCCGCTCGACGCAGCCCCGCGCTGCACGTAGGAGTTGCACGGGTCGGGCTGACCCGAAACCGAACCCAGGCTTGGCCTAGACGCACTGGTGCTGGCTGCCGACGAAGCCCGCCCAGACACCAACGCTTCCAGCCGAGCCTCCTGCGCTCTCTCTTTGGCGCGGGCGGTCGCGATACCCCGTGAACTGAAACCCACCGTGCGGCGCATAGCAGCGACCTGCGTCTCGATGCCCTCCATGCGCGCGCCCAAACTCAGCTGGGCGGGGTCCGTCGGCGGTGACGGTGGCGGTCCACGCTGACCGCGAAGAACACATTCAGCCCGAGAGACCGCAGGCTCGCAAGCGGCCGCCGCGAGCCCCTCAGCAGCAGCCGCGGGATCGCCCAGGCCCATGCCGTCGAAGGCCTCGGCAGCCTGTGCCTCCTCTCCGTCCGCGAAGGTGTTGCTTCCAGCTCGGCGCCGCTGTTCCCACAGCCAGGCACTCTCGGCGGAGGCGAGAGCAGGAAATGCAGCACTCTGAAACGCTGCCTTCCCGACCGCTGCAAAATGGGCGCGTTACTGGTCCTGCGAAGGAGGAACAAATGAGAAACCTGATAATTTGAGCTTCAAACTGGCAGGGCAGCTCGACCAGGACGTGCCTGGGTGCCGCCTTGAGCCACAATGGGACGACGACGACGACGACGACGACGACGAAGACGACGACTCTGAGGTCTCCACGACTTTCTGGAGGCACTCGGAGGCCCCAGACCAGAAACGGCCAGAAACCTCGTTCGGCGAAAGCCGCCCCCCGCCGACGACGGCGACGCCGCCGACGACGGCGACGTCGAAGTGCGCCGACGAGGACGACGGCGGCGACTCCGAGGCCTCCAGAGGCGCAGACGGGCCAACAGAAGGGTTCGAAAGCCTCGGTCCTCGACCCGCTGGACTCCGACCTGTCCTGGGGCGCGCTCTGGCGCCAGACTCTCGCGGCGGACCTGGCCGTGGCGAGGAGGGCGCCCCTCCGGAGGCCCAAAGACATCCCCCCCCCAAAAAAAACCGCCCGGGCGCCCCGATCCTCCAACGCCTCGGCCCTCGACCCACGGCGGAGGCAGCAACGACGACGCGGGCGAGGACGCGGGCGCGGGCGCGGAGATGCGGACGACGACGCCGCCGCCCGCGGCGGCGGCGGCCACGACGCCGACGAGGCCAACGAGGCCCGCGACGCTGACGCCGATGACTCCACAGGTCTCCGCGGGCGCCGCTCTGCACGACGTAAAACGACGCGAAGATCGGGACAACATCGGATCGGGAAAACTCGAAATCTCTGAGAACCGGCGGGCTTGGAGGATGTGTTGGGCGCCGCGGCCGCTCCGAGAGCGCTCCGGAACGCTCCGAGAGCGCTCCGGAACTCCCTGGAGCGACTTTTTTATCACGATCCCAGCCCTGTTTGACGACGGCGCCCTCCGAGGGGCCTGCTCGCGCAGCCGGCCGAGGAGGAGGAGGAGGAGGAGGAGGAGGAGGAGGAGGAGGAGGAGGACGAGGGGCCTGCTCGCGCAGCCGGCCCAGCGAGCCCACGGCCTCCTCCAGGGCGGCGTCGCGCGCGGCGGCGTCGCGGCCGGCCGCGGCGGCCTCGGCCTCGCGAGGGCGGCGCGCGCGCGGAGCGCGCGCGCGCGCGGAGGGCGGCGCCGCGGGCGGCAGCGCGCAAGCGCGCGCGGAGGGCACGCGCGCACGGAGGGCGGCCTCACGAGGTGCGTCTCGGAGGGGCGCGGGGGGCCGCGGCGAGCCTCGGAGGGCCGCGTGAGGCTCTGCCCTGCGCCGGCCTTTTGCACGCGACCGCGCTCGGAGGGGTCCTGGTTCAGGCAGCGCCTTCTCCTCGTCCTCTTCGTAACCCTCCTCGTTCTCATCATCGTCATCCTCATCCTCATCCTCATCCTCATCCTCATCCTCATCGCCATCATTATCATCATCGTCATCGTCATCGTCATCATCATCATCATCATCATCATCATCATCATCATCATCATCATCATCATCATCATGTTCATCATCATCATGTTCATCATCATCATCATCATCATCATCATCATCATCGTCATCATCATTATAATCACCATCATCAGCAGCAACATCAGCATCAGCAACATCGCCATCATCATCACCACCAACATCACCATCACCATCACCATCACCATCATCATCAGCGACAGCATCATCACCATCATTAGCATAAGCATCACCATCACCATCATCAGCATCAACATCATCATCATCATCATCATCAGCAGCATCATAATAACCATCAGTGCCGTCATGTTCATCAGCAGCATCATCGTCGTCATCATCATCATCACCATCACAATCAACATCATCATAACCAGCAGCAGCAGCAACAGCAACAGCAGCACCAGCACCAGCACCATCACCATCAACATCAATCACCATCGTCTCCATCATCATCATGATCATCATCATCATCATCATCATCATCATCATCATCATCATCATAAGCAAAATCACCATCATCTCCATCATGTCCATCATCATCATCAACATCATCATCATCCGCTGCAGCAGCAGCATCGTCATCAGCCGCACCACCACCACCACCATCATCATCATCACCATCATCATCATCATCACCATCAGCGTAACCATCAACATTATCATTAGCATCATAATCGTCAACATCATCATCAGCAGCAACATCGTCAGCATCAGCATTATCAGCAGCAGCATTACCATCAGCATCAACATCATCAACATCATCAGCAGCATCACCAGCCCCAGCATCAGCATGATCATCATCATGATCATCGTCGTAGTTGTCATCATCACCGTCGCCCTCATCATCACAATCATCATCATCAGCATCATCAGTACAATCACCTGCATCATCATCATCACCACCACCATCACCATCATCATCAACAACAACATCGAAATCACCATCATCACCAACACCATCATCATCACAGTCGGCACCACCTACTATCACCATAAACATCATCATCGCCGTCGTCGCCGCGGTAGCAAAATCAGCATCACCGTCATCGCTACAGTCGTCATCCTGATCACCATCATCGTCATTACCATCACCACCCCTCGGCGTCATCACCACCATCAGCAGCAGCAGCAACATTATCGCCGACAGCATCACCAACGTCATCAGCCGCAGCAACATCATCCTCGTCATCCTCTTCGCAGCTCTCCCAGGCCTGGGGACACGCGAGGCGCCACGCGCGACGGCCTCTCGCGGCCACCCGGGCAGTCGCCGCCCAGGGTCTCCTCAGCCCTCTGGGCGTTAGTGGTCTAGGGCGGCTTCTCTTCCAACCAACATTGCTCCCTCTCGGGGAGGGGAGTATCACTGTTCCCTACTAATATACACCCCCTCCCACAGGCGACTGGCAGCCAACCAGCAACGATGAGGACACCATAAGGGCCCCCCCACACACCACCCTTGTCAAACAACAATACGAACACACACTCTGCCTCCAAATCCGGAGCATGCGCAACCAACCCGATGCGCCCCCCCACCATGCTGGTCAAAAACAAGACAAAGACACTTTAGGGCAAAGCCTGGAGTCAGGTCCGTGAGGCCCGCGAGCACTTTGTATTGTTTTTAGTTTGACAGGGGCGGCGGGGGTGACAGAATATTGCCTGCTGCGCGCAGGGCGACCATCCCTGACAAAAAAGGATACGAAATTCATCTCGCGGCTAAACCTGGATCATGCGCGGCCACCCCGGGATCACTGTCAAGTGGTTGTTGATGGGGACAGCGGGGGAGGTGGCGTATGGCCTGCAGTGCGCAGGCCCACCAGACACGATAATGGGCATTGGTTTTCGACAAGGATGGCGGGGACCGATATGTTGCCGACGTGTGCTGCCACGTGCGCAGGCGCACCTGACACACTCTGCACGTGCCCCGAACGCGGCGCACCAGGCTCGGCTGGAGTATGCGGCGCACCTGGCGCACACTCTGGCACGCTATCTAGGGTGGTATCATGACCCCTCCCCCTACCCCCTTCCCTTGGACCTGGACGGGGGGTCCCGTGGGTATTTGGAGCGTCCAAGATGGCCCAAGACGGCTCCCAGGGGGGCCTCGGAGAGCCCAAGATGGCCTCCTATATGTTCAAGATAGCGCAAGATGGCTCAAGATGGCTCCCAAGATGCTGCAGGAGACCCCAAGAACGCTCCAAGACGGCTCCAAGTGGCCAAAGAGCTCTCGAAGGAGGCCCCAAAGAGGCCAACATCTGTGTAAAACCTAGAAGTACAATCAATGTGTGTTGCTGTCTCGCCTTTTCGCGTCCGATGGCCAACCGAGGCCTCAAGATGGCCCCAATATGGCCCAAGAATGCTCAAAGAGGGCCCCATGAGTGGCCCAAGAGAACACCAAGACGGCCCCAAGAGCGCCCCGGAGCGCTCCAAGAGCGCCCCAAAAGCTGCCCAAGAGGAGATGTTTGGGCCTGCCAAGGGGGGACCCTAATTGAAGATCCCTTCGTTTTTGATCGATGTCCTCCAAGATGGCCCCAAGAGAGCCCCTCAAGCTCCCAAGAGGGCCCCCAATGGGCCTCAAGAGGCGCCCAGGCGGCCCCAAGAAGCGCCCAAGATGCCTCCAAGCGACTCCCAAGAGATCCCCACGGAACCTCAAGAGGATCCCCGAGGCACCCAAGACGCACAAAGAAGGCCCTGAGCCCGCCAGGAGGACCCCCAGGCGCCCACCCCCAGACGCCTGGCAAGTCGCGACCTGTGGCACGCGACCTGTGGTACGCGACCTTCTGTCTCATGGTACGCAACCTGTGGTACGCGACCTGTCTGTCATGGTACGCGACCTGTGGTACGCGACCTTGCCGGGTTGTACTTTGGCCGTCCAAGTCGAGGAAGGAAGTGGGAGGAGGGGGTAGGAAAAAGGCGCCCAACAGGCCCCAACGAGCCCCCAGCAGACCCCAAATAAATCAAACCTATGGTGACAAGAGACCCCCAAAAATGCACCAAAAAGCTGCCAATATGCATCGAAGACGCCCCAAGAGCTTTCCGGAATCGCCACAACGTTACCAAGACGATCCAAGGAGCATGCACGCGCTCAATAGATATCAGATATCCTGGCAGACGCCGAGAGGCACCCAAGAAACGTCTAGTCATTATGCTCGCCGTCGTCCTTCAACTCCTCCTCCTCCTGATCATTCCCATCTTCCTCCTCCTCCTCCTCATACCTTTCCTCTTCCTCTTGCTCCTCCTCACCAGCAAATGACTCATCCTTCTCCATCCTGCCTCATCAAGCCTCCTCCTCCCTCGAGCGATGACGGCTGTCTCCCTCTTTGCGACTGCACTTCCTGGATCGTTTCAAGCTGCCTGGGCGTCGGTTCTGGATGGGCTGGTTGGGGTACGCGAAGCGTCCATACTTTGCTGGGCGGGCACGTTGGCGGGACTCGCCGCAGGGGGCGCACACGGTCAGCCCTCGGTTCGCGACCCGTGCCGAGGTGCGCCGCGCGCGCGCGCCAAAAGGCGCCACACGCGCCAGGTGGGCGGCCACTCCGACGGGCGGCCGCGGAGCCGCCTCGGGGGGGCGCGCGCGGCGGGCGCGCAGCGAGCTGGCGGCGCGCAGGACGGGGGCGGCGCGAAGGCGACGAGCCTCGTGGCCTGCGCACAGCATGTTCACGTCGCGGCGCCCCCACGAGTTCGCGTCTGACGCCGCGTGGATCGTTTGGCCTGGAGCGATCGGCTGTTCTGCGATCGCTGGAGGGTTCCACATGGGCCAGCTCTGGGCCACTGGCGGCGTTCAACCTGGAACGAGGAGAAGGAGGAGGAGGAGGAGGAGGAGGAGGAGGAAGAGGAGGAAGAGTGGGAGGAAGAGTCTCTCTGTCTCTCTCTCTCTCTCTTTCTCTCTCTCTCTCTCTCTCCCTCTCTCCCTCTCTCTCTTCCCGTTGAGGCCAGGTCCTCTGAAATTTCTGGAAAAAAAGAACCCTGGGTTGGGGAAGATGCGCAACTATGCCGCCCCCCTCTGGTGATCTGCAAGCCTGCCACGGCTGATGCCCGCCGGGACGGGCCAGCGCGCGGGCGCGGCGGGGCGCCGACAGGCCACCACAGGCCTCGAGGACTCAGCACAATACGGGCGCGATGCAGAACCTTGCCTGAGCCCACCTCGCAATGGTCCTTCTGGTCGCCAGCGCAGGCGAGTATCCCATCCGCTGCGATCATCAGGGAGGCGTGCAGGAGGCTCCGAACACCAGCACCAAGATGGGGAAACCTCGACTGCCACTTTCTAGCGGCCTCTGTTCCGCCGCCGACCTGCCTGGACACGTTGCCCCGCGGAGCTCGCTTTCCAGATAGCCGACCTCCTATACTCCGCAGAGTTTCCCCGAAGACCGCCCCCACTGGCACGAACACGTCTCTCATGTTGCACATCTCCGTTGGGCGTTCCGTCGGGCTGTAAGAAATGGAGCTCAGCCTCCAGAGCGCCAGCAGCACGCTGGCCAAGCGCGGGGCAAACGCCCTTGTGCTCGTAGTTCAGGATCGCGTCCAGAGCCCCGAAAAAAACAATGGAACGCTGGCATCCCTATGTCCTCTCCCTCCTGCGCATATTTGCGCATCTTCACGAAAGCCTGAAAACTGTCGTTCGTGGCTTTGACGAT